GAGACAAAGTCCAGTTTAAACCTTCATCAATCATGACTCCTAAAAATGTGGTTTCATTTACTCTTTGAATCTGAATCCATCTATTTCTAATGTTACGTCGTCTTTTTTCTTTTTATCATTAAATAAAATGAAATTTGTTTTTTTTAACATTCAGAATCAATCCATTAAAATCAAACCAATGTTTTACTTTTCTTAGCTCTTTGTTAACTTTACTTGTGACTCTTTTATGTCTTTTCCAGAGTAAAATAATGTCGTGTCATCAGCAAATGGAATTTTCCCAAACTCAGAAACTTTAACAAACTTTATCCACAACGATCAAAGAGAAGAAAGAACAAAACTTAAAGGAAACAACGAGACACAACAACAGTCACACAACAAACTCAACTCATGTTCTGATCCTGAAGAAAACAGAAGCAACTTGTTCACTCAGACTCGTTCAACTGTTACTATTAAAAATCCATTTCATGATGTGGAGATTTGATCCGTCCACGCAGAAGATGATTTTACTAGACTTCACTTGAGTTCTCTTAAAATAAACGACGTCTAGACTCGAGTTGAGCAGCTCTGATACAGAACGTAGATCGTAAATCCAAAAACACGATGAAGAACCTGATGTAACTTTGAAAATCTTGGTCAGGTCAGAGAAATGTGCAGTGAAAAGTGAAGACCCAGACTCTGAACCTTGGGCCTGGAGAACCTCAGCGTGGTTCGAAACATGACCTGAGTCTGTTCCTCGTCTGCGCTGATGGAAATAAACATTTAAATAATCACGATTTCACTTTAAATATCTGTAAATCAAAGTGTTTCTGAAATGAATCAAAATTCCTCAAACGTTTTGGAATTCAAGGGTCAGTGTTTGGCGCCCTCTGCTGGACAAAAGAACGAACATAAAGAGTTAAAAATAGAATCTGCTTTTGTCAAGAAGAAGAGAAGAAGAAGAAGAAGAAGAAGAAGAAGAAGAAGAAGAAGAAGAAGAAGAGGAAGAAGAAGAGTGGATGTGATGTAGAGGATTTTAAGATGATCACCACATTTGTCTGTTTTCTGTTCCAGTGTCGTTTTTTTGAAGATGTGATTTGTTTTTTTTCACATGTTTCTCTCACAAACCTGCACATTTAGACTGAGCTTTTCTCTCAAACTGTAAACACTCTGTTCCACCTTGTGATGTCATGAAAGGAAGTGTTCTGCTGTAGAGTGACCAGATTTTCAAAATTAAAAAAAAACTGGTACATCTTTGTTTTTTTTGGCGGTTGGTGATTGGGTCAAGTGTCACCGGAGGAAACAGGGTCAGATTTTTGACATTCAAATGTCTCTTATTCAGAAACTAGAGGAACTATTGAAATAAGTAAAGTATCAGAATGTAGGAAAGAGTTACACTCCAACAGGGTCAAGTTAAACCTGTGAGATTCTTTCAAGTTCAAGACAAAAACATTTAAAAACTCATGTCGGTAACGGAGGGAATGAAATATGCAGCACTTTTTGGGCAATAAATCCAAACAGTGATAACTCTTGGTTCTCACTTCCATATCCTTAACAAACTGGTTTGAATATTTGCTTCATATAGTTTTCTACCATATGGTACAAGATTAGGTTGAAAAACCTCTGACTTTTTGACTCATGAGATTTTTTATTAAGAAAGTTCATGGTAACGGAGGGAAAAGTAACGGAGGGAAAATTGTACAAACAAGTAGAAGGTGCAGGATTTTACATCATTTGTGGCTTTTTTCTTCTGAAAACTTTAATATTACTTCAAAATGAAAGAAACTATTTCTATAAAATATGTCAGTCCTTCCAAGAACATTTTTATCATTTTAAATACTTTTTTTTTTTTTAATCCTGTCCCTTCATCAACAGTTCAAAGATGGAATAACACAAGATATGATGAAATACAAACATTTATTTACATGATTTTGTCTTTGAAATTTGGGAAATAATTTTTGTTCCATGTTTCATTCATGGTCTGTTTAAAACGGATGGAACTTTAGAACCAAAAATGGAACAGAAAAAAGGTGAACAGTTTGATAAACTCGAGTACATATGTATCTGTTCAATACATTTTTATATCAGATGAATTCACTGGAATTTTTGTCCTTGATGTTTACTTCTGTTTGACCGAGACCAAATGTGTTTTATACGTGTTTTGTGGATGAATAAAATGTGAAATGTGGAACCTGCCGCTCAAATCTGCAAAGCAAATTTACCTACGGCTACAAATAAAACGACTGAACCAAACCAAACTGATCAAGATCCATAAAACCACAACACGAAATATTCAATATGAGCTTTATCACGGTAGATTAAAAACAAAAAAAAACTTGCAGTAAAAAGTTCATTTTTAATTGATGCAGGTCATTTGGGCCAATTGACCTGGAAGTCTGAGGACCAAGAAAACTGTGTCTGAGCTCAAGTCTGGACCAGAGTTAAAGTGAGTAAAGTGTATTTACCTCGTGGACATGTTTCTGCTGCTGCAACTTCCACCAGCGACGGTTCTGAAGATGGAGCCGAAACACGTCAACAAGTAAATACACTTTACTGTTTTGTCTTTAAAAAGAACCAAAGAAGATAAAGTTCAAAGTTCCTGAATGTTCCTGTTGACTTTCTCAGAGCTGGAGTTGTGTTTGTTTCATTCACATGTTTGAGTAAATCTTTATTATGACTCTGTTACAGCTCCAAAGCTCCAAACGCTCTGTTCAACCTCATGATGTCATGAAGTGGTGGTTTCCAAGTTCTCAGCTCCTTTTCCCTTTAGTTCAGGAGAGATCAGCGACATGGGCACATAGAACATTTCATACTGTGGGGTTTCTCTGAGTTCATATGTAACTAAGGAAACATATAATGAAGACAATTTTTACCATTTCCATCTGTGTAGATGATATTTACCCAGAAGTCTGGGTACATTCAAAACCTGGGCCATAATATTAGAAGGACCGTCCATATAAATTAGAGTTTGAACATCATGAAATGTTAAATTAAAATGGTCAAATTGCATCCACTTCAAAATATCCAGCCAAAACCTTTGGGTCACTGAGTAACAGAAAAAGAGATGTTCTGTGGTTTCAGGGTTATGTGCAAAATACACACGGCTCCACTTCAAACTTGAATCTTTTCCTCAATGTTTCAGCAGAAGGATTTATGTTGTTTAAAATTTTGAATTGCATCTCTTTTATTTTGGGCAGGACCGGCCATTTCAAGAATTTATAATGTTTGTTTTCCACTTTAATTCTCCATCCATCCATTTTCTTCCTCTTATCCGGGGTCGGGTCTCGGGGGCAGCAGTCTGAGCAGGGCCTCCCACACTTCCTTCACCCCAGACACTTCCTCCAGCTCCTCCAGTGGGACCTGAGGTGTTCCCAGGCCAGTCCAGAGACATCGTCCCTCCAGTGTGTCCTGCCCGAGCCTCAACTGGCTCCTCTCCACGTGGAGGAGCAGCGGCTCTACTCCGAGCTCCTCCTGTGTGACTGAGCTCCTCACTCTGTCTCTAAGGGAGACGCCCAGACGCCCTGCGGAGGAAACTCATTTCGAGCGCTTGTATCTGCGATCTCGTCCTTTCGGTCACTACCCAGAGTCATGACCAGAGGTGAGAGGAGGAACAAAGACTGACCGGTAAATCGAGAGCTTCGCCTTTCGACTCAGCTCCTCTTCACCACAACGATACAGCGACCGCATCACTGCAGACGCTGCACCTGTCCACCTGTCAATCTCACGCTCCGTCCTCCCCTCACTCCAGAACAAGACCCTGACATACTTGAACTCCTCCACCTGCGACTTTAATTCTAGGATCAACTATTTTAATCTTGGATGGAGTCGCAAAATCTGAAAACAATTTGCCTTTTAATTCTTTTAAATCACCTTATTAGTACATTTCTTATCATTAACAGACAGTGTAGTGGAGTAACAGATTACATGTACCGCAGTTACGTAATCAGAGTACAAATTATGAGTAACTGTATTCAGTTACAGTTACTGTTTCAGTGAGTGGTAATTGGATTACAGTTACTTTGTTGAAATAAATGGATTACACGGCTGTATTTTCCTGTTTTCACATTTGGGGCTAAATCCCCCTTTTTTTTTCTGTAATTCCACTCATTGCCAGACACTAAACCAGGTCTAAAACCAGGTCCAAACAAGGTCTAAACCAGGTCTAAAACCAGGTCCAAACCAGGTCTAAAACCAGGTCTAAAACCAGGTCTAAAACCACGTCCAAATGAGGTCTAACCCAGGTCTAAAACCAGGTCCAAACCAGGTCTAAACCAGGTCTAAAACCAGGTCCAAACCAGGTCTAAAACCACGTCCAAACGAGGTCTAACCCAGGTCTAAAACCAAGTCTAAAACCACGTCCAAACCAGGTCTAACCCAGGTCTAAAACCAGGTCCAAACCAGGTCTAAACCAGGTCTAAAACCAGGTCTAAAACCAGGTCTAAAACCAGGTCTAAAACCACGTCCAAACCAGGTCTAACCCAGGTCTAAAACCAGGTCCAAACCAGGTCTAAACCAGGTCTAAAACCAAGTCTAAACCAGGACTAAAACCAGGTCTAAACCAGGACTAAAACCAGGACTAAACCAGGTCTAAAACAGGATTTAACAGGACTCAACCATGCTGCGTGGACCACGTCTTCTCCTCTTGTATCAATAATATTTTTAATTTGGTTCAGTAAAGTCTGGGCTTTTTATTTTCTTTTATCAAACAAAACTTCTTATGTGAAGATTTCCTCATCTTTGTTTCTCTACAGCAAATCAAGTAATCCAAAGTAATTCAGATTACATTACTCACTTTAAGTAATTTAATGGATTACGTTACAAACTACATTTTGGTGTGTGTAATCTGTAATCTGTAGGGGATTACATTTTAAAAGTCACTTTCCCAACACTGTTAACAGATATTTCATTCATTTTAGTTTGCATGAATTGCGCTCCTGATTCCTCTGGCAGTGTTTTGACCTCTCCTCCTGCGGCGCCGCCATGTTTGTAGTCCTGTAGAGTTTGTAGTCCAGTGCATCCCCGTCCAGCCCAGAGCCGCAGCAGCAGCAGCAGCAGCAGCAGCGGTGTGTGTGTATGTGTGTGTGTGCGCCCCGGGGCAGACAGGACGCCGTTTCCCCGCTGGACCTCGCACGGACAGCCGCTCTCGGTTCGCCCCCCGGTACCGGTGCGCTTCAAGCCCCGGCGGTTCGGGAAAAGCCTCGGAGCCGGGGGCGCTAACGGCGGCTAATGCTCGGCTAACAACATGGGAGCGCTGCATTGTACTGTGATGCTAACGGAGGCTAAGTGCTAACCGAAGGAAGAGCTGCGTGAAGAAATTACTGCCTAAAATTCTAATGAGCGTCTCAAGGGCATGCCACAGGAAATTAAAAGGTGAGTTTAACCCCCCGCACGTACGTTTCTGTCAATTCGGCGCTTTTAAAATATTCAACGGCCCCAAAAACGAGCCGAATGCGCGATGTGTTTATGTAATAATGAAGCGGACGTTAGCCTGTTAGCACGCTAGCGCCCTCCTCGCCGATCCGGAGTCTTGTGTGTTTCGCCGCGTTTCCTTCGCCCGCCGAAACGTCCCGAGGCTCGGAGCGGGAAGCTGACCCGCGCCCGTGGGAAATGCCCAGTCACGTTTTCGGCCGTGGCGGTTTTAGATCGGCGCGGCGGGGCGGAAACGTGCGGGATGCCGTTAGCCGTTAGCCGCTAGCCGCTGCTCCTCCTCCTCCTCCAGTATTGTTGGGATGCTAAAAAAAAAACCCTCTGCTGCTGCGATTTGACTGGGATTTCACAGATTGCGTTCGCTTTTCTAAACATATCACACGCCGTAGGTGAGTGAAAGCGCGCGGGTGGAGCTGGACACAGGTGATGATGAGGAGGTAAATGAGGGAAATGTGAGAGAATGAGGCTGGGGCATAAACAATGGAAGAGTGGATGGATGGATGGATGGATGGATGGAGGGATGGAGGGAGGACAGTGCGCAGGTGTCTCTGGGTCTGAGGAGTCTACAAACGCAAGGACTGGAAAGGGACGGGAAAGAAATGTGAAATTCTAAAGATTCTGAAGGACTGTCAAGGAATGTAAAAGACCGTAATGAACTGTAAAGAAACATAAAGGACTGTAAATAAATGTAGGAGACTGTAAAGGACTAAAAGACTGTAAAGGAAACTAAATAACTGTAAAGAAATGTAAAGTAAAGGACTGAAATGAACTGTAAAAGCCTGTCAAGTAATCTCAAGAAATGTAAAAAACTGTAACTAACTTTAGCAAAATATAAAGAACTGTAAAGAAATATAAAGGACTGTAAATAAATGTAGGAGACTGTAAAGGACTAAAAGACTGTCAAGGAATTTAAAGGACTGTAAAGAAATGTAAAAGACTAAATAAATGTAGGAGACTGTCAAGGAATCTAAATAACTGTAAAGAAATGTAAAGGACAGTAAAGAAATGTCAAGGACTGTCAGTGAATGTAAATGACTGTAAAAGAAATATAAAAACTGTAACGGACTCGAACAATATACAAAGGCCTGTAAAGAAATGTAGAAGACTGAGGAAAGGGAAAGAACTGTAATGAACTGTAAAGGACTGTAAAGAAATGTAGAAGACTAAAGAAATGTAAAGGACTGAAATGAACTGTAAAAGACTGTCAAGCAATCTCAAGAAATGTTTAAAAAAAACCTGTAACTGACTGTAATGGAATATAAAGAACTGTAAAGAGATGTACAAGACTAAAGAAATGTAAAGGACTGTAACGAAATGTAAAGAAATGTAGAAGACTGTAAAAGAAATGTAAAAACTGTAAAGCAATTTAAAAGATATATAAAGAACTGTAAAGAAATGTAAAAAAAAAAAAAAAACTGTACAGGACTGTAACAAACTGTGAAGTACAGTAAAGAAATATAAAAACTGTAAAGTAGAAGAAAGGTAAACAACTGTGATGAACAGTAAAGGACTGTAAAGAACAGTAAAGGAATGTAAAAAAAAAAAAAAAACTGTAATTGACTGTAACGAAATATAAAGGACTGTAATGAAATGTAAAAACTGTAAAGAAATGTAAAGGAATAAACAAATGTAAAGGACTGTAAAATGTAGAAGACAGTAAAGGACTGTAAAGAACAGTACAGAAATGTAAAAAAAAAAAAAATGTAAAAAAAAATGTAAAGGACTGTAATGAACTGTAAAAGACTGTCAAGCAATCTAAAGAAATGTAAAAAAAAAAAAAAACTGTAACGAAATGTAAAGAAATGTAAAAGATTGTAAAGGAATCTAAATTACTGAAAAGGACAGTAATGAAATATAAAGGACTGTAAAGAAATGTAGAAGACTATAAAGAAATGTAAAGGACTGTAAAATACTGTAAAGGTCAGTAAAGAAATGTAAAGGACTGTAACAAAATATAAAGGACTTAATGAACTGTAGAAGACTGTAAAGAAATGTAAACAAAAACTGTAAAGGACTGTGGACTGTAAAGAAATGTAGACGACTGTAAAGGACTGTAACGAAATGTAAAGGACTGTAAAGAACTGTTAAAGACTGTAAAGAAATGTAACAGATTGTAAAGAAGTGTAAAGGACCGTAAAAGACTCCAGGGTTTAGGACACATGGACACGAGTCCGTTTTATCATATCCCTGTAGAATGTCAATAATTGGGCAGATTTAGATTAGATTTTTATATTGAGTTGTTTTTTTTATTATTATTATGTTTTGCAATAGAGTGGAGTATTAACTATAACAAGTACGACTATTAACATTTGTGCTTTATCGGGACCGGTCGACTTCAATCTACTGATACAAAACTGTACTGCGATGAATGACTGTGTGTAAAGTTCTCACGCTGGAACAGGAACGCAGGAAAATCCAACATTTTTAAATAGACAAAGCATTAAGAGGCCTGAGCTGCCACACAGAAACAACAGAAGTGTACAACTCTAACCTCATCACAACAAAATGAACAACGATCTCTGACTTCTGGAAAGAAAATGTGCACACTGTAAATCCTGAGCTCCAAAATACAGTGAAATATTTACAATCAATATAGTAATTATCATGTTACGTGAGTCATTACCCATAAAAGTGTAACTGTAATGTTCTGGACAGAATGTTTAAATATAAATATTTACATTTTACTCTTTTACAAATTGTATGAGAAGTATTATTAGACTTAGATTTAGACTGACTTTATTGTTTCTTTCCCTTTCCCAAATAAAACATTCAAAATAAGTAATGAAAATAAGAAGAGACTGGAGTCAAACGCACAGGCAGAAAAACTATAAATGCAAGTGAACAAATAAAAATATAGAAATGTAGTAAATCTATCACATCTGCTCTGAATCTGTTGTAGCTCCACAGTGCAAACAGAATCTGTGAGATCACGTTCAGAGCATTTACATGTCGTGGGTGTGTCTGAGTAACTCTGGTTAAAACAGTGTGATTTTCCTGGAGCTACATTTCCATTTTCTCATGATTCATGTTTTTTTCTATTCCCGTTTTAGAGGTAAATAAAGTCTCTTCTACAAGACACACTTCACTGTGATTGTTTAAATCACTGGAGTGTAAAATATTATTGTTTATCTCAGTATTTGTCTGTAGGTGTTTGCTGGAAATGTGATTATAGTGATGAAGGAGTTCACTTTTATTTGTCTCTGTGAGTGTGAGTCTGGAGGAGCAGAGGCCGTGAGCTCTGCTGTTTTTTTATATTAACATGTGTGTATTTTGTATATTAACGTGTGTATTTTGTATATTAACGTGTGTGTATTTTCTATATTAACATGTGTGTATTTTGTATATTAACGTGTGTGTATTTTGTATATTAACGTGTGTGTTTGTGTGTTGTGTCCGTAGCTGACCGGGGGGGTGATGTCCGGCGCTAAGGGCCCTCCGGTGGGGGCGGGGGGCGTGGGGGGCGGAGCAGGCGGAGCACGCAGACGCAGGACCCGCTGCAGACGGTGCCAGGCCTGTCTGCGCACAGAGTGTGGAGAGTGTCACTTCTGCAAAGACATGAAGAAGTTTGGAGGACCAGGAAGGATGAAGCAGTCGTGTCTGCTGCGACAGTGCACCGCGGTGAGAACCAAAATACTAACATATTTATGTATATTTAATACTGTATACATATAACACACACACCGCGGTGAGAATGACTGAATTTATGTGGATTTAATACTGTGTACAGAAAACACACACCTGTCTGCACCGCTGTGAGAATACACAAATATATATATATATGTGTATATAATAGGGATGGGCAGGATTATTCGATTAATGGATAATTGATCATTAAGAATTTCATCTATGTTTGTGTGTGTCGTGACCAAACAGGTGTGTACATGTGTCTCTGCATCAGAAGGAGCGAGACACAAACAGTGGGTCAGTCTGTAACGAACCGAAGCACAAATGTGGATTTAACCAGGATTTGTAGAAGAAATTCCACACTTTCCGTTGCGTTGGGACAAGTGTGAGTCCATGTGCACAGTGGATAAAGCAGCACATATGTTTCTGTGTCCAGTGGGAAAAAGTTTTTCCAGGTGAGAGTCGCTCAATGTGGATGACGAGGCCCCGCCCCCCTCCCCCCGTACGCTGTCCTGGTTTTGACAAACACAAATCTGGTCACACTGACCTGTATTCACCTGAGTCATGTCTTTTAATCCAACACAAGTTGAACCACATCAGCGACACAAGAGCTGGAGTTTTATCTTCACTTAGTTTATGTAAATTAGTGATGTGGTTTTAAGTTTTGTTTCTGTGAGATTTGAACAAAACTGAATTAAACACATTATAATGTCAAACAGCTGATGTGGATCTAGAGTCGTTATGTTTATATGTCGTAAAGTTGAATTTATTGATGCAGATTAGTGCAGATAGTAATAATAATGATGATCATTTTAATAGAAAAACGTTCATGATTAATTGATAATCGATCGTTAATTCTTCCGACGATCGATTAAGAAAATGACATCGAATGCCCATCCCTAGTATATAAACTGTATACATGTAACACACACTATATATGAGTATAATACTATACATATGTAACACACACACCTGTCTGCACCAGAGAGACTGATTTATCAAATCAATATTTACACTTTTTACTAGAGCCCGACCGATATGGATATTTGCTGTGGCCGATATGAAACTGATATAATGGGAGTTGGAGCTGCCGATATAATCGCCGATATATTTAGTGATGTAAAAATTCACTGTAAATGTTGAATTGTTTAAAAAACTTAGGTTTGGCTCTGGTGGATTTTAAATTGGGTTTATTTAGGCAACATTTATTGTTATTCTGCCTCTTTACATCATATTTACAGACAGTAGGTTGGTTTAATGGCATTTTTGCATCACATTCTAGACACTCGTGATGGGGATTCCAGTTCTTTTTAGAGAACCGGCTCTTTTGGCTCGGCTCACTAAAAGCTGCTGGTTCTTTTGGCTCCCAAGTGGCTCTTCAGATTGTTTTGTTGCAAGCAGGACTAAAGCAGGTCTAAAGCAGGACTGAATCAGGACTGAACCAGGTCTAAACCAGGACTGAAAAAGGACTAAACCGGGACTTATTTATTTTATGCAAAACTACAGCCAAATATGCTCCTTTTTTTATCCTATGCAAATATCTCAAAGTTTCATTTTCAGCCGCTGCCGCTGTCAAACCACGAGTCTGCAGGCGGCGTGAAGAGAAAAAAAGTGAGAAAGAGAAAACACGGCTCCCAATAAGGATCAGGCTCCCGTCGTTCGCTTCAAAGAGTCGGCTCTAAGAGTCATTTCGTTCGCGACCGACCCATAACTAGTAAAGAAACAATCGCTATTAGCCTTTAGCCGTAAATACGTGCGCGCCGCGGTAATTAATTATATGCGCAAATGTCATAATTCACACCTCTATTCACAGCTCATTTACATATCAGTGCAGGTCCAGTAGCAAATATACGACCAATATAATCACTTTACAATATGCCAATAGAAAACAGTGTGTTTATGTGCGGGAGCTACAGCAGCTAACCCATAACAAATGACAAAAACTAGCTTCAAAGTCGACATATTTCCAACACTCACCGCTCACACAGGCTCCTCCCACATCACAAATCTGCACTAATAAATGTCCTTTTAATCCAGACTCAAACCGATTGTCCGTAAAAAGAATATAATCTCAGTGTTGCGCACGGCTGCGGGTGTAAACAAACACACGTGAATGATGCGACTCTGTGGTGTGTTCAGGGACAGTACGGACACACACAGACAAATGACTCCGTAGATAAATACTGATGCGGAGCCACATATTAGGACATTTATCTGTCTGTAAATTGGATTAAATGAACAGAATGTAGAGAGTCTAAGATTTATAACGACGTATCACATGCCCACGTGAAATATCGGCCCCTATCAGCAAGCATATTGGCCGATAGCTGATATGCCTCCAGGTGCCCATATCAGCCGATAATATCGGTCAACCGATATATCGGTCGGGCTCTACTTTTTACCGTATCGACCTTAAATCTCAAGCACAAACTGATGTTTAGTTTTGGTCGATCTGCTGCATAAAGTTTATCTGAACACTTGATTGTGAAAAGATGAGAAGCTCTTCACTGTAACACACCAACATGTGAGGGGGTCAGAAGTGTTGAAAATCAAACACTAATCGACTAAAATGAGAATCAAAACTACAGACTCATTTTTGTCAGGTTTGGATCCTTAAAAAGCCTCATTGACAGAACAGAGCAGAACGTTTCCTGAATGTGTTTAGAACATTCTGGAGCCGGATCAGAAGAAGTGTAAGAGACAGAGACTAAAATATACACATGGACCTGGTTTAGACCTGGTTTAGACCTGGTTTAGACCTGGTTTAGACCTGGCCCACTGAGGGACACATGGGAATAGAAGAGAAAGTGTTTTATTGTGGTGGTGGTTTGGGGCTCAGTATTGACTCAGTGTTGATTCTTCTGTGTTCAGTTTGATTCTGTTCGTGTCGTTTAACACACAGGATCATAATGACAATAATATTCTCATTACAGTAGAATAATAGAAGGTAAAAGTGTGAGCTGGATCCTCTTGAAGCCTGTGCTCTGAGGTGAGATGGGCTTCATTTCGAGGAGCATCAGAAACAAACATGGAGCTGTTTCCATGGTAACCGCGCACTGGTTTCACTTAGAGATGATGTCATAGGATCAGTGCCTCTGCAGCGTCGTTATTTCACTGGAGTTTACACGCATCCACATACAAACGCGTCCGTGGGAGGCGCTTCTTTTCTTTTACACCATTCTGCTCTCGCTGCTCCAAACAAACACAAACCAAACGCCAAACACCCTGTTCATGTGTGAGGGAAATGCCTCCGTCCTGAGCTGAACAGTGCTGCGAGGATCATTCCTTTGTCAGAAGACGGAGGATCAGTGCCACAGCTTGAGCTAATCACATGTTCTCCACAAACGACTCCTGCCAATGAATACTGCACTGAAATAAGATCCTCCTTTTGGTTTTGTTTTCACTGTTCAGTTTCACTGTTTCCTTTGATTCAGCAAAAATCAGGGTTTAGGCCTTTAAAGGTTCTGCTCTAAAAACTGGACTTTTGGATCTTTCTCTTATTCTGACGTTGTTCCTCATCACAAACCTGCCTGAAGAGGTTTTAGAGTCATGCATATCTGAGTAATCTAGTGATCTCTCCTGGGCCTTATTCAAACCCTCCTTATGGTCAGCAGTACGAGTCTGTACGAGGCTCCGCCCCCCTGCTCCCACATGACAGTTCTCCTTAAAAACACAAAAACACGACACAAACCTGAACACAACAACATGACAAACCTGATGTTTGTGCAGGAGTTTCACACTATCACACACACTCATTGTGTGTGTGATAGTGCTCTGAAGGGGGAGGGACTTAGCACAGAGAGCAGAGGGAGGGGACACTCAGAGCATCATAATGAAAGTGAAACTTGTAAACCCTGTGATTCTGTTGCCTCCTGCAGCCGGTCCTGCCCCACACGGCCGTGTGTCTGGTCTGTGGAGAGGCGGGTAAAGAGGACACAGTGGACGACCCTGACGACAAGTTCAGCCTGTGCCTCATGGAGTGCACCATCTGCAACGAGATCATCCACCCCAGCTGCTTAAAGGTACAGACACACTGCACCACCAAAACACCACCAAAACGCCACAAAACACAACCAGATAAGATCATCCACCCCAACTGCTTAAAGGTACGAACACACCACTCCCTAAACATGACCAAAACACCACAAAAACACCACCAAACACCAACAAAATACAACCAGGTAAGATCATCCACCCCAGCTGCTTAAAGGTATGAACATACTGCAGAAACACCAACAAAATATGACCAAAACATGTTCAAAACACCACCAGAACACCACCACCACACCACCACAACACCACCACAACACCACCACCACACCACCACACACAACACCACACCACACCACCACCACCAACACCACCACACACCACCACACACACCACCACACACCACCACACCACCACAAACCACACAACAACACCACACAACACCACCAGAACACCACCACCACACCACCACAAACCACCACACACACCACCACAACACACACAACCACCACAACACCACCAGAACACCACCAACACCACCAGAACACCACCATTGCACCACCAGAACACCACCATTGCACCACCAGAACACCACCATTGCACCACCATTGCACCACCAGAACACCAGCAGAACACCACCAGAACACAACCATTGCACCACCAGAACACCACCACCACACCACCACAACACCACCACCACACCACCACCAGAACACCACCACACCACAGAACACCAGCAGAACACCACCAGAACACAACCATTGCACCACCAGAACACCACCACAACACCACCACAACACCACCACCAGACACCACCACCAGAACACCACCAGAACACCAGCAGAACACCACCACAACACAACCATTGCACCAGCAGAACACCAGCAGAACACCACCAGAACACCACCACAACACCACCACCACAACACCACCACAACACCAGCAGAACACCACCAGAACACAACCATTGCACCAGCAGAACACCAGCAGAACACCACCACAACACCACCACAACACCACCAGAACCACCAGAACACCACCACAACACCACCACAACACCACCAACACCACCACACCACCACAACACCACCAACACCACCACAACACCACCAGAACACCAGCAGAACACCAGCAGAACACCACCAGAACACCACCACAACACCACCACAACACCAACACCACAACACCACCACAACACCACCAGAACACCACCAGAACACAACCATTGCACCACCAGAACACCACCACACCACCAGAACCACCACCACCACAACACCACCACACCACACCACCACACAACACCACCAGAACACCACCACACACAACACCACACAACACCACCACAACACCACCAGAACACCACCAGAACACCTCTACACACAGGAGGTGGTTCACCAAGAGGTCTGATGGTGCATGTGATGGTGATGGTGCACGTGATGGTGCACGTGATGGTGCACGTGATGGTGCACGTGATGGTGCACGTGATGGTGCACGTGATGGTGCACGTGATGGTGCACGTTGGACTAACCTGCTTTCTGTGTGTGTGTGTATTGTTCAGATGGGAAAAGCTGAAGGCATCATCAACGACGAGATCCCCAACTGTTGGGAGTGTCCCAAGTGCCACAAGGAGGGAAAGACCAGCAAAGTGAGTCCTACACACACAACACACACATATATACAACACGCACAACGCACACACAACACACACACATACACACAACCCACGCACATACAAACATATACAACGGCAAAGTGAGTCCTCGTACTCGTGTTTATATTTTACGCTCATACTCGTGTTTATATGTTTACGCTCGTACTCGTGTTTATATTTTTACACTCGTACGCGTGTTTATATTTTACGTTTGTACTCGTTTTTATATTTTACACTTGTACTCGTGTTTATATTTTCTGCTTGTACTCGTGTTTATATTTTCTGCTTGTACTCGTGTTTATATTTTTTCGTTCGTACTGGTGTTTATATTTTACACTCGTACTCGTGTTTATATTTTACACTCGTACTCGTGTTTATATTTTACGCTCGTACTCGTGTTTATATTTTTACGCTCGTACTCGTGTTTATATTTTTTTGTTCATACTCGTGTTTATATTTTCTGCTCGTACTCGTGTTTATATTTTCTGCTTGTACTCGTGTTTATGTTTTTTCGTTCATACTGGTGTTTATATTTTACACTCGTACTCGTGTTTATATTTTACGCTTGTACTCGTGTTTATATTTTACACTCGTACTCGTGTTTATATTTTACACTCGTACTCGTGTTTATATTTTACGCTCATACTCTTGATTATATTTTACGATCATGTTGATCTTTTCTCGTGTGGCTCCAGGACCAGACCGACGGTTCGGGGAAACGCCGCCTGGACAACGGCGAGGTCGGACGCTGGAAGATCACAGACGACCCTCCGCCCAAGAAGAAGGCGCCCCCTTCAGGAGAGGAGGTGTCCCGCGGCGGCGACAGCCGAGCGGAGGGGGGGAGGGGGTCGGAGGTCAGAGGGGGGGAGGGCAGGTCGACGGAGGGAAGAGCCGAGGGGCGGAGCAACGACGGCCACAAGAGGAAGAAGGAGAAAGAACCGGCGCCAGACAGCGGCAAGAAGAAGGTGAGAACATGGACGCCATCTTTGAACTGTCTGTGGTCTAACACTGACAGAACATAGACGCCATCTTTGAACTGTCTGTGGTTTAACACTGACAGAACACAGACGCCATCTTTGAACTGTCTGTGGTCTAACACTGACAGAACATAGACGCCATCTTTGAACTGTCTGTGGTTTAACACTGACAGAACACAGACGCCATCTTTGTACTGTCTGTGGTTTAATATTGACAACACGGACGCCATCTTTGAACTGTCCTTTTCATCATTACTACACTGAATTAAACTTTGATTTACAAATAAAGTTTTGACGAGTCGACTGCAGTAACAGTTCTGTCTATAAACACTAAACATCTGCTGCAGAACATCGAGACTGAAAATAAATGGATTTAATTTTAAACGTGACTGAAAATTTTGTCTTTTTGTTTCAGATCAAAGGAAATCATGAGAAACGCCTCAAAAAGGTCAGAACTGAACCAGGACTAAGACCGGGACTAAGACCAGGACTAAACCGGGACTAAACTGGGACTGAACCAGGGCTACAGCAAGACTAAAGCAGACCAGGACTAGACCAGGACTAGACTGGGACTAGATCGGGACTAGACCGGGACTAGACCGGGACTAGACCGGGACTAGACCGGGACTAGACCGGGACTAGACAGAAACTAGACCGAGACTAGACCGGGACTAGACCGGGACTAGACCGGGACTAGACCGAGACTAGACCGAGACTAGACCGAGACTAGACCGGGACTAGACCGGGACTAGACCGAGACTAGACCGAGACTAAACTGGGACTGACCAGACTAGACCGGGACTAGACTAGACCGGGACTAGGACTAGACCGAGACTAGACCGGGACTAGACCGAGACTAGACCGGGACTAGACCGGGACTAGACCGGGATTAGACCGGGATTAGACCGGGATTAGACCGGGACTAGACCGGGACTAGACCGGTACTAAACTGGGACTGAACCAGGACTACAGCAAGACTAAAGCAGACCAGGACTAGACTGGGACTAGATCGGGACTAGACCGGGACTAGACCGGGACTAGACCGAGACTAGACCGGGACTAGACTGAGACTAGACCGGGACTAGACCGGGACTAGACCGGGACTATCCCCTGATGCCCTAACCGCAGGTCTCTGGTTCTCCGCAGAAGCCGAAGTCAGAGGAGAACGGTTCCGGTTCTGGTCCGGGTTCTGGGGGCGGGGCTCAGGCCTCGTCTCAGTCGGGCTCGGGGGGCGGGGGCTCGGGGGGCGGAGCCTCGGGTTCGTCCAATCAGGACCAGAGGTCGCACCAGCGCGAGAAGCTGGAGCGGTTCAAACGGATGTGTCTGCTGGAGCGACGCCTCTCCTCCTCCTCCTCCTCTTCCTCCTCCGAGTCCGACTCCAGCGACTCCGACAGCGACGCGGCCAATCAGAGAGCCCCGAGCCCGCCCACCTCGCCCTTCAGCCCCGCCCACAGAGACCGCAAACACAGCGAGCGCGAGAAAGAGCGAGAGCGCGAGAAAGAGAGGGAGAAGGAGAGAGAGAAGGAGCGAGAGAAGGAGAGGGAGAGACGACTGGCCGAGCTCGGGTTCAGCGCCAGCGACGAATCAGACGACACGACGGGCGGGCGCGGCGACGACGGCGAGGAGAGGGAGGAGCCTAAGAGGAGGGGGGAGGGGCTAACGCTCAAGAGGAAGACCATGGAGACGGACGAAGACGAGGTGAGTTTCAGTTTAAAGAGAGTTACAGTAAAAACAAGAAAAACACAAGAAAAAAAAACAAAAAAACACAAGATGTCCCCAGAGATGATCCCCTCGTGTCCTCGGGTCTTGGTGTTCTCATGTTCTTGTTTCCTTGTTTCCTCGTCTCCCTGTTTCCTCGTCTCCTTGTTTCCTTGTGTCCACCTGTTCTTGTATCCTCATATTCTTGTCTTCTCGTGTCCTTGTGTCCTCGTGTTCTTGTCTTCTCGTGTTCTTGACTTCTCGTGTCCTGGTGTTCTTGTGTTCTTGTGTCCTTGTGTCCTCGTGTCCTGGTGTTCTTGTGTCCTTGTGTCCTCGTGTTCTCTTGTCCTTGTGTCCTCGTGTTCTTGTCTTCTCGTGTCCTCATGTCCTTGTGTTCTTGTGTCCTCGTGTTCTTGTCTTCTCGTGTCCTTGTGTCCTCGTGTTCTTGTCTTCTCGTGTCCTTGTGTCCTCGTGTCCTTGGTGTCCTCGTGTTCTTGTGTTCTCGTGTCCTTGTGTTCTTGTCTTCTCGTGTCCTTGTGTCCTCGTGTCCTTGTGTCCTCGTGTCCTCGTGTCCTCGTGTCCTCGTGTCCTTGTGTCCTTGTGTCCTCGTGTCCTCGTGTCCTTGTGTCCTTCCTCTGCTTTGAGGAGAACAGAGGTTTTTAAACACTGAATGCATCTTATTATAAATTCATCGTTTCCTCGTCCTTTTTTCTGCATGAATACTTCTAGAGTTTCCGTGTTTAAATGTTTCCGTGTCGTGTTGTTTTCAGGAGGAGCGCAGAGACAGGAAGTCGTCCCTCCCCTCTCCGCTCTCGTCCAATCAGATGTCAGCGTCCGGACCGCACGACGTGTTCGTGTCGAAGCAGCGCAACAACGGCGCCGACTCCAGGAACGGTCGCCGCGGCGCCGGAGCGGGCGGAGAGAAGGAGAACTCGACCAATCACAGGCACAGTACGGCCTCGGGGGGCGGGACCAAGGCCAACGCCAGGTAACCAATCAGAGCACAGCGTCGGTCTGCGCCTGCGTCTGCGCACGGTCTGAAAACGACAAAAACAGAAACGAGAAAAACACGAAACCTGGTGTTTGTTTTTGAGCAGAACGTGTCTCAGAACAGAGAGAAACGTTTGACCTGCTGCAGTTCACATCAGTCTGTGGATTCTGGTCAAACACGTTTATTTGGACAAAGTCATTCAAAAATATATTAAAATCACAAAACAAACAAACCAGAACATAAATAATCATCATGAAATTCAAAAGAGAGACAGACTTTAAATGAGAGAAGAGTGCGGAATGAAAAAATAAAAACAGAGTCACAGAGACCTGAACCTCAAACTCTGACTCCACAAGTTTAGTCCAGACTCTGGTGCCAGCTAGAGACCGGGACTAAACCAGGACTAAACCAGGACTAGAGCGGGACTAGAGCGGGACTAGAGAGGACTAGAGGAGGACTAGAGGAGGACTAGAACAGGACTAGAGGAGGACTAGAGGAGGACTAGAGGAGGACTAGAGGAGGACTAGAGGAGGACTAGAGGGGACTAGAGGGGGACTAGAGGACTAGGGACTAGAGGAGGACTAGAGGAGGACTAGAGGAGGACTAGAGGACTAGAGGAGGACTAGAGGAGGACTAGAGGAGGACTAGAGGAGGACTAGAGGAGGACTAGAGGAGGACTAGAGGAGGACTAGAGCGGGACTAGAGGAGGACTAGAGCGGGACTAGAGGGGGGACTAGAGGAGGACTAGAGGAGGACTAGAGCAGGACTAGAGGAGGACTAGAGGCAGGACTAGAGCAGGACTAGAGGAGGACTAGAGCAGGACTAGAGGAGGACTAGAGGAGGACTAGAGGAGGACTAGAGGAGGACTAGAGGAGGACTAGAGCAGGACTAGAGGAGGACTAGAGCAGGACTAGAGGAGGACTAGAGGAGGACTAGAGGAGGACTAGAGCGGGACTAGAGGGGGACTAGAGGAGGACTAGAGGAGGACTAGAGGAGGACTAGAGCAGAACTAGAGGAGGACTAGAGGACTAGAGGAGGACTAGAGCGGGACTAGAGGAGGACTAGAGGGGGACTAGAGGGGGACTAGAGGGGACTAGAGGAGGACTAGAGGGAGGACTAGAGGAGGACTAGAGGCAGGACTAGAGAGAGAGGACTAGAGGAGGACTAGAGGAGGACTAGAGGAGGACTAGAGGAGGACTAGAGGACTAGAGGGGGACTAGAGGGGGACTAGAGAGGGAGGACTAGAGGAGGACTAGAGGGAGGACTAGAGGAGGACTAGAGCAGGACTAGAGGAGGACTAGAGGAGGACTAGAGGAGGACTAGAGGAGGACTAGAGGAGGACTAGAGGAGGACTAGAGGAGGACTAGAGCGGGACTAGAGGGGGACTAGAGGGGGACTAGAACGGGACTGGAGGACTAGAGCGGGACTAGAGGAGGACTAGAGGAGGACTAGAGGGAGGACTAGAGCGGGACTAGAGGAGGACTAGAGGAGGACTAGAGGGAGGACTAGAGGGAGGAGAGCGGGACTAGAGGAGGACTAGAGGAGGACTAGAGGGAGGACTAGAGGGAGGACTAGAGGGAGGACTAGAGCAGGACTAGAGGAGGACTAGAGCAGGACTAGAGGAGGACTAGAGCAGGACTAGAGGAGGACTAGAGGAGGACTAGAG